CTGGATGCTGGACAATTGGAGTTTTACTGTATTAAACTGCTAGGGCAACTGGGGGAATGGTTCTGTGTTGTGTTTAGAAGCAGGCTCGGCTGGCGTGTGAACCGTTTGTTTCACTTGCTGCAGTTTGATTCTTTGCATCTGACGAAGAGGTGCGGTCCCTTTCGGGATAGAGCGTGGCCGACTTTGCGTGCATTGGACTCCTTCATCCGGGGCCCACGGGCTGTATCTAGCCCAGCAAGCCTTTCCACCAGCCGCCCCAGATCCCTCGCCGCAAAGGGACTGGCTGCTCCATGTGACTCTTCACACCGTGGGAGGGGAAAGCTTCACCCGCTGCCTCTGCCTGCACGTCCTCGCCACCACCCCAGTCCTCTACTCCCCCGCTCCCTTCTGCACCCAACCTCCGTCCCAGAATTTTGCTTTCTGCAGAGCCCATGGAATCCTGCCCACGTGGCACAGCCCCCCGTCCTCCCCCCTGCCTCGGCCTGTCATGGCTGGGGACCTCGGAGTGAGGAATTACAACCCCTTTGGACTCCCGCCCCTCCGTTGTGAAGAGCAGAGCTCTGACGGAGCTGAGACTCTGCCCCGTTATGCCTGTGGGGGGAGTGTTTTCTTCATGCCAGGCATCCCAGCTCGCCCACTGCTGGGGTGAGGCCTTCCACGCCCGAGAGGAGGTGTCTGCACTTCCGTGTGCAGGCATTTTGGGTTCTTGTCTCAATCCTGACGGGGATTCACAGGGTCACCTTTCGCAAGGAACTGCAGCATCCTTGGTCCAGATCAAAAGATATTTAGGAGCCTGATTCCCAGTCTAAATCAATGGGAGTTAGGTGCCTAAATACCATGGGGGAGGGGGCAGCTCGGCCCATGTGCCTCAGTTTCCCCTTCTGCAAAATTATAATGATATTGTGATTCATGACGGACCACACCACCCTTCCTAGTGGTCCGTGTGCCGAATAGGGAGGCCACTGGCGACTTCCTGCCCACAGCAAGGAGAGGACTTTGAGCCTCCTGATCCAAAAAAAAAAGCCGCTACTATTTAAACCAGGGGTCGCTGAGCCACAGAAAAATCAGTCGGGGGCTGCACACAAGTGAGAAGCCCCCCCCCAAAGAACCCCAAATCCTCACTGACATGGCCCCCGACTGAGAAGGCTAAAGACACTCCCCATATTCCCCTCACACACCAGAGCCTTGAGGGGCTCTGGCTAGAAGATTTTGTGTGCTCCAGCCCCTTGGGGAATGGTTGTGGGGGCTGGAGCGCTAGCGCAGGCTCCCTGATGCTGGGGGGGGGAGTGCTGAGCCTCGGGGGCCAGATCCAGGCAAGCCAGGGGCCTTAGGTTCCCCACTCCCAATTTAAGTTAAGAGAGAACGGCCCTTCGCTGTAGCCAACGGAGACCCGGGACACATAGCAGGCAACGCGGCAGCCATCGTAAGCGTAAGCAAAGCATGCCCTTAAATAAACCTCGCCCGCTAGTCACCCAGTGGAGGCACATTTTGGGATTCCTTGCAGACCCCCTACCGCAAGCGCCACAGGGAGAAATCATCCCACAGAAATACAAAGACACCCCCCTCCTCCACCCAGGGCAAGGCAGGGCTGATGACGAGCGGCTATAATGTAACACACAGGGCCCCTGCCAAAATGCCACAGCGATGCATCATGGTGCGACATTTCCACCAAACGCTGACCGGCCTTCAGACATTGCAGCAACAGTGATGTCACCTGCCCCGGCCTGCAGTCAGCTCTGTTGCTTGACTGATCCGCTGCTCAAAAGCGGGCAGGCCGTCCTTTCCAGACCAGGAATAGCCTGTGTAACCGAATCTCTGCATCACAAAAGGCATGGAAGAGCTCCACTGAAAACCGGCCATAAGCCAGCCTGGGAAAAGGGTGAATTTTCCTCCCTGCGCTAGCTCCCTTAAATATTCACGTTTCTAAAGCAGCACTTTATTTCAGAACAGAAAGGAGCTGGCGCTGGAAATCCTGCCTGACGCAGTACAGGCAGTCCCCGGGTTACATGGATCCGACTTACATCGGATCCCTACTTACAAATGGGGTGAGGCAACCCCGCACTAGCTGCTTCCCCCCAGCAGACCAGGGAGACGCGAAGCTAGCGCCCCGCCCCCTACCCCCAGCAGACCAGGGAGACGTGGAGCAAAGCCGCGGAAGACCCGGGCGGCGGGACCCGGGCGGCGGGACCCGGGCGGCGGGACCACGGCACGTCTGGGCGGTCCCGCCGCCCGCGTCCTCCGGGGCGAGAAAAGCCCCGTTCATATGTAGGGATCCGACTTAAGTTGGATCCATGTAACTGTCTGTATTTAATAACAACCTTCCCTATTCCCATAGTTTTAATGATGTCACATCCATTATTTCAGCACCGAATTTAGTGTCTTGAACCTTAATGATATGTCTAATAATTCATGTAACATTAAATAATTTTGTTCAGACACAGAAATGTTATGGCTAAAGTATGTTTATCACTAGATTATCAAGCAGTAGTACACATGTGAGGCAACCCCGCACTAGCTGCTTCCCCCCAGCAAACCAGGGAGACGCGAAGCTAGTGCCCCCCCCAGCAGACCAGGGAGACGCGGAGCAGCTTTTCCCAGCAGACACCTCAGCTTGAGAATAAAGGCCTGAGGGAAGTGAGGTGTGGGAGAATAAAACTGAGCTCTGGAGAAATGTTTGGCTAGAGTTTCCCCTACAATATGTACCAGTTCCGACTTACATACAAATTCAACTTAAGAACAAACCTACAGTCCCTATCTTGTACGTAACCCGGGGACTTCCTGTATTGCCAACCCAGGCCCCAACTTTATCCCTTGCCGGCACAGCCTCTACCACAGGCCAGACACAAAATCCCCTAAATGGAACCATTTGAATCCTGATCCACGCCTGAATTTTACAGCTATTTCAAATGCAATTCCAGGACTTCACTGGGTGCAGCTGGCTGCCCTAGTCGTACAAAAGGGTAAAGGAATGCGGCTTCGCCAGGTTACTCAAAGAGTTATAAACAGCTTCTTTGTCCAATATTTCAGCTGTTGTATCATGCTGGGTGCCTTTGGGTTGCTGAACATTCTGCTCCTCTAACAGATTACGCTGTATTCTTAAAATGCTTAACCCCTTATTTCATTTTGGCCTCTTTAGAGTATTTCCAGATACATTGCCACGAGGAAAGGTTCTTCGAGCTAGTGTGAACCCCCATTGCTACAGCTGTGACTTCACTTCTGTACATAGAGCACCCTACTTCTGAAAGTACTTGTGTCTGTGACTTCACTTCTGTACATAGAGCACCCTACTTCTGCAAGTATTTGTGTGCCAGGGTTCCCTGTAAGCCAGGTGCTTGTACGGCTGCCCAGGAGAGATTCAAATGCTGCCCAGCAGATTAGCAGAGTGCCCACAGCTTGGGTTTTGTTTCTACTGGTGGTGCACATTTGCACATGCCTCGCTGCACAAACCAAAAAAATTATTCTGCATATGGATGGAAAAGATCAGAGGGAACATTGATGCGGGCCCACTTAAAGTGTGTGTCACAGCAACCAAAAGGCAGTCTAAAAAAACCCACCAGAATAGGTATCTAGTAGAGATGCAAAAACAAACACAAAAAAACAAAAATACACTCCACCCCAACCATACAGGACTCAATCAAGAGCTCCTCATACATGTATCATCCCCACTGAAGTCACAACTTGCGTACCTTTTTCCGAAAAACAGGTGTAGTGTAGACGTAGCCTCAAAATGCCAAACACATAGTAACAAATTTCTGGCTTTAATCACCTTGGACTGCCATCAGACAAGTCCCCTAAAGGTGAAAAGCTCCCTACCCTATTACTCTGAGGTGTCGAACCCGGCAGCAGTAGCTTTGCTGGTGGCAGCTATTAAAAAAGCTAAGTTTGTTGTTCACTTTCATAGCTCTCAAGATTTCCCCCTTATGTTGCCTGCTCTTGGGGTGAATACTAGATTCTGCTGGCCAAAATACAGGAAGCGCTGTTGTGTTTCCAAATGCAGTATGTTTGGCTGTGTGCAGGGTTGTGGTAGCCATGTTGATTCCAGACTATTAGAAAGACACGGTGAGGTCATATCTTTTATCAGACCAACTTCTCTCTATGGGATCAAAGAACCACTAAAAGATATTACCTCACCCGCATTGTCTCTCTAAATGCAGCTGGACAGGCATCGTTTACGTTAGTTCTCTGTTTAATACCTTGCTAATTTCCAAGGGTTTCTCTCATGTGCTGGAGGCTGAGAAAAACCCATTTCTTGCTGCTGGGAAAATTGAAGGGATTGGTACTATGGGTTGAACCTCTCTAGTCCGGCACGATTTTAGTTAGCTATATGTCCACTTATCATGGGTGTGAAAGTTTCTCGCAGTTCTCTAAAGTTTGTTTACAGCCACCAGCCCTGTTCTTTGCTGTTATTTGGCTCTAATTTACCCCTCCATGTCTTCTCAGAGCCCAGGAAGTAGTGGGAGTGTTGGTAATGCCGCTAGACAATATTGACTTCTTGTGGTTCGGAAAATTCTGTGGTTCCGAGGGTGTCGGACTAGAGAGGTTCAGATTGTAGCTGCTCCATGTCTTCTTACTGTATAAAACATCTCTCCTCCTTGGATTAGGCTGCCAATATGACCTCTCTCCCCAACTGGTGAGTTGGCCAAGCACCAGCAAGGGAAAGCCAAGTACACTGAGGTGTTAAGCTGAGGGACACAAGAACCAGTATGGAATAATTAAGCCTGTTGTCTTGAGTGCACTAAGGATTAAAGTACAGCTACTCAAAAGGAGGCATCTAACTTCCACTGAGAAGCTGAGAAAGTGGAGCAAAGAGAAATTACGGCAGCTCATTGCCAATTGCGCTGATTATGTGTAAAACAGTGCTAAATTGAGAATTACGGAACAGCAGTTAGCTACTAAAATGGTTATTATGCTGTGAACGAATGAATGAATAGCTCCAATAGATGAACCAGTCACACCTACTTCAGCCGGCACAAACCAAAGCATTTGTTTTTGAATTGCAGAGTTCACTAGAGGTCAAAAATGCTGAAGGTCGAAAACACATTACAACCCTACTTCTGCCAAATCTACTTCATGGAGCTATTTTTAATGCCTCACTAAAAATGGGCAGCAATGAGGCTACATGCAAGCATGAGAGGAAGTTCTAAATACATTCAAGCACCGACAACAACATTACATAAAAGGTATGCGCCTGCAGGAGCCATTCACATCACAGGTAAGAGCCCCAGCAAGAATGCGACAGCATGTCATTGGTGTTCTCTTTGTTTTGACTCGGGCTGTTTTATTCCGGGGTAGGAAAGTTGAACATCATCAGAGAAATCCCAGACAAGGAAAAATGGAGTAACAGTAAGTATTTGGCCTGAGTGTGGTCTGAATCTGGAGTAAATCTGAAGCAAGTCCACTGAGGTCAGCTGGTTTACACTAGCCCTAGAAGGTCAGCTTAAGGTACGCAACTCCAGTTACATAAAATTTGTAGCTGGAGTTGGCTTATCTTAAGCCAAGCTTGGAGCCGTCTTCACAGAGGGAGACGGATGGGAGCAAATTCTCCCATCGGCTTTGCTACTCCTCACAACTGCGGATTGGAGTCGCCCTCAGCGTTTGATTTAGCGGGTCTTAACTAGACCCGCTAAATCGAACACCAGAAGATTGATCTCCAGTGCTGCAAGTGAAGATGTGGCCTACGAATAGGTTTGCTGAGGATAAAAGTGTTAAAACTGAAGAGAGAGAGAGAGAGAACACAAATCTGAATAATCCATTAGAGCAAGGCTGTTTCCTGAAATATCCCTGACATGGGCTACCACTGACTCATAGTTGGGGAGTTCACTGAAATCCCAGTGTCCAGCTGCCAAGCCATTCCTACAGGAGGCCTCTGTAAAGTAGAGATGGGCAAAACAGGACCCCTGGATCAAAACAGAGGGGGGAGCTCAGATCTGGATTTCCTCTCTCAGCTCTATGGTGGGTGTTTAATTCGGCAGCCTGGCTCATGCTATTAAATGTACACACAAGGGGAAATCAAAAGTAATTGAGGGCTCTACTGGGCCTAAAAGACAAGGCCTGCATTGGAGGTAGAAGAAAGCTGCATCAGCCCGCTAGCAGGTCCAGCATACCCCCTGGCAAGCCCTGGTCAGACTTAGAGGCTGGTGTAGAAAAATGTGGCCCCTTCGTTTGCATAATACCAGGCCTCCCTTTAATCCACTGGACAGCCGCTGACTGAATTAACAACGCTGGGAGCCTTGGGTTATGGACTCCTCTGGAAAGTGAGAACCACTGTTCCTTGCGCTCCGTTAGTGGATCTATTGGAGTTCCTCTAGGCGCTCCTGCCTCCTGCTGGCTATGCTGATGTTAGCAGCCTCCTTGGTTTCAAGGCACCAATTCCCCTGCGGTGTAATGTACTTGGCTTCAGTATGTTATGGCAAAAGCATCTGCCTGGGATTTGTTAATGCACCACGGACCTCACTGTGCTCTGGTATAACTCCGGTTACGCACGTGGGTTTACGCTGGGAATAAATATGTCCTTAACAGATCGCCTGTGAATTCGGGGAAAGCAGGGGCAACTCTATGGAGATCATTGGGGCTGGGCTGGTACAGGAGACTTAGCAGAACAGAGACAAGGGAGGTGAGGTACTACCTTGGTCGGTCTCCGTTCAGCTGGTGAAAGGGTCATGCTTTTGAGTTCCACACAGCTCTTCTTCAGGGCCGGTGAAGGAAGCCGAAAGAACAGCTTTCATGTTAAGCACCTAAATCAGTGGTCAGATGATCAACTCACCCCTGAATCAATGGGAACGGTTGGGTGCTTGGTTCTTTTGAAAAAAAAAAATCAAACCACTCACCGTATTTTCCGGCGTATAAGGCTACTGGGCGTATAAGACGACCCCCTAATTTTTTAGTTAAAAGATAGGGTTTCGTCTTATACCCCAGCGCCCCTCCACTTCCCCAGCTTTACTCCCGATGTCCCTGGTCTGCTGAAGATGGTCCCCAGCAGACCAGGGACACCGGGAGCAAAGCCTCTGAGGACGCCCCGGCAGTGGGACAGCCCCGGTGCGCCTGGGCTGCCCCGCCACCGGCTTCCCCCGCGGCTTTGCAAAGCCTCAAAGCTGTATACCCGGCGTATAAGATGACCCCCGATTTTTGGGGGATGTTTTTTAACATCAAAAGTCGTCTTATACGCCGGAAAATACGGTATTAGGATCTAGGGATGTTAAATAGCGGTTAATTAGCTAACTGAGTAGACGATAGAATTCCACAGAGACAGTTTTGGGGGGAACCGGGTTTTAAGCCGGCTCCCCACAGCACTGGCTCCTGCTCTCCCCACCCCGCTCCCCTCCCCACTTGCTGCCTTTTATATAGACAGAGCAAGGGGGAGGAAGTTGCTAGATGACTACTTGACTTACTTCCCTAATAAGATCCTTACTGTAGGATCTTTTTTTTTTTTAAATCTTGGCCTATAACATCTAGTTTTTGCTCCATCTTTATTACAGGGTCTCTTAATTTTTCCCATAGTGAACACACTCTATCATCTTCCCGCGTAGTATTCAGTATTTGATATGTGGTAAAACCCGGCTAAAGACAAAGCAGTTTGTAGCTTTCACACCCGTTCAGGGTGATTCTAGGATTTCACATGCTTGTGTGTGTTAAAACTACAACTGCCTCTCTTCCTCTCACGTAAAAGTGTTGGCCCTTGCTCAGCAAAGCACTTAAAGACATGCTTAACTTGAAGTATGCACTTAAGTCCATTTAAATCAACAGCTGAACTGAGATCCCTGTTTTTCTTATAAATTCAACAGCGCCTTCCAGTGATTGAATTATCCAGTGATACCCATTTAAGGTGACCAAGTATTTTTAATTATTAATTAAATGATTCCTGAGATTTTGATTTGATTAAACAAAGGATCAAATGAATGGAAGATGCTGTAAGACAAGATGATTGTACAGTCTGCTCATTGGTATTTTCTTGTCTGTTGGCTTTGCAGAGAAGAAACTCCCATTTTGCGATTCCATAAGGTGAATTAATGTAAAGCAAATACGTTCTGGAAGAAGAATTCTGGGAGAAAACATTGCAGACGAGTGGGAATATCCAACAGAATCTTCTGCCTGTTTCACATAATAAATTAATGCTTGGGATAATTTATTCATGACTCACAAAGACAATGCAGGGAAATAAGAAACACGCGGATGGACTTAGTGACTCTTCTAGTATAGGGAGCCTCCTGGATGATACAGACAGAGAGGTCTGCAGCCTCACAGATCGAGCATTCAAGAGTTTGTGCGTGGCAGAACTCGAAGCATCTAACAATGAATTGGAGATTGTCATTTCGCCGGACATCACCTACCAGTTCACTACTAAAATTCACCAAGGGACACTGAACCATGCCATCAAGAGAAGCAACATCTACAATAAGTTATCATCGAAAAACAACGAGCATACAACTTGGGCTTCAACATTCCAGCATCTACCAAAACGTGCGCCAGACGAGAAAAAGGTTGCTAAACACAGCACGGCGGAAATGAAAAAGCCAAATTTACCAGCAGCTGGTCCAAGGAAAAACAAACCTGCCTCAAAAGTGTCCTGTTTGATTAAGACATTTGATAAGACTGAAAACCAGTGTCCAGAAAGTTCCCTGGTAGCAGTCAAACTGCCAGTTAAAAACAGCTCTCAAAAATGCAAATTAATTCAGGGAAATGACATAGCTTTCTGGAAAGACACAGCGCTTTTCAACATGCAGAGGGAACTTTCCCAATTTTCTGACGTATATCGAGATAACCACTGGCTCCGTGACAAACACGAGGTCCAGAAAAGACAGAATAAAATTGATATGAACTACTTTGGCCCACATGTTGATCATCCTGCACTGATGGACATGTCCAATGTGGTTAAGGCAAATCTCACCAGCTCTTCTAAAAAGGCAGCCAAAAACAGGCGCGCAAAAGTTAAAGAACCAGCAAAAAAGGGCAATTTTCTTCACAGTGAGAACAGCGCCTTTGAATCATGGAATGACCGTCATAATAAACTGAGTGAAAAAGAGGAGTTTGCAGCTATTATACCAAAAAAGGAGGCTATTACACGCTTTGAAGAAACACCATTGGTTAAAGGATCCTATACATCTGCACATAAGCCACCACACAGAAAAGTCTCAGGGGCTAGAATTCAGGAAAAGGATTTCCTGACAGATCTATTTCCCCCTACAACTGAATTCCAGGACTATGTTCCACCAGACACTATATCTCAGGTCCCTGTTCCAGTAATACCTGGTCATCTCGTCCCTGTCTCTCCAGCAGCTGAGTTTCAGATTCCGATTCCACCAGCACCTGTACCCCTCATCTCTGGCCCATCAGCATCTCTACCCCAGGTCTCTGGTCTCCCCAAATCACCTGTATACAAGGCCCCTTCTCCACCACCACCTGTGTCCCAAGATGCTTGCACAGAGAAGAAGTCAACCAAGCCTGAAATGGACTATGTCTGTCCACCGTGGAGAAGACAGAGGAATATAAAGAGGGCCACAGTGAAAGCACAGCCGAGTTCAAATGAAAAGTTACCCCTCAGTGGAGAAGAATTCTCCTTTTATCAAAAGCCATCTGCTGTGGAACCTTTTGCTGACACAACTGCAGAAAATAAACAGGGAAACTCCCCTGATTCCGTTAGCCCCTCCTTCAACATCACAAAACTTTTAACCCCAATCATACCCTCAAAACAAGAGATAGCAAATCAACCAGTGAGTTTGACACCCCCAATGCCTGACCCTGTAGCAGCAAAAGAACGTGAGGGAAGCGGATTTAGTGAGTATCTGCCTCGGGATAATTACAAATCTAAAGCACCAAGTTTATTATTCAACCTGAAGGATGTCAGAAAACGTGTGAAAAGCACTTACAGTCCCTCGCCCCTCCTAAAAGAGAAAAACAAGGCTAAGGAAAACACAAAACAAGGGAGTGTAAACATGAATGCTATGGTGTCTACTTTTCCGGAAGACAGTAGCTTCGAGTTTGCAGAGAGAGATGAATTAAGCTATGGACCTTTTGTACCAACAGACACTATCCAGGAAAAGCACAATACAACTGAGTTAAAGGGATACTTCACAGACAGTTACCTTTCTTTAAATTCACCCCAGGCAACAGTCGATCCTGCGTTTTACCAAAATCAAGACAATTTGCAACAGGATCATTCAAATAACAAAGATCCATTGAAAGACATCGAGTACAATGAAAACGTCTCTCTCTCTGGATACCTGTCAAACGAACATGGTTTAAGGAAAAGTCGACGTTACCCTTCACTGAAATGCCACAGTAGAGACAATACAGAAGCAACAGCTGCGCATCAAATGCAAACGTATAATTCCAGCATACAAGGCCATGAACGTGAAAGAGATGCGGAAAGCCAGAATGGAGTCCCCCCCAAACTCCTTCCACCAGCAGGAGATGATGTTCCTTACAATGAAAGTGAAAGCCATGTAAGAAGCAGCAATGAAAATCAAGGCAAGACCAGCAATAGTTCTTCTGAATACTCTTTTGTGACCACAGTCGATCAGCCATTTCAGGAGGACTCTTTCTCGCTGATTCAGCTGTTCCAGAAAGCATGCCTGGAAGAAAGCCAGCGGAGTAGAAGGAAACAGAATGTAGATGACAAGCCAAGTAGGAAAGGGAAACCGGGAGAGGAAGAGGAGGTTCCGTTGTATGCGTTTAGTAATGGGGACACTAGTACAGAAGAGAGGAGCAAGGGAAAGGTGGCACTGGACGAAAGCGAAAGCCTGACTGAAGAGAGGTGGACGAGTGAGAAGAGGGAAGAGGCCAGTAGTGTGAATTCTGCAGCAGAAGACAACAAGGACACTGTCATCCCCAAGGGAGAAGAGCCAACATCGCAATCTTCCAATCCATTGAAACCCAGTCTGTTTCTGATTAAAGACAACACATTCAAATCCTCCCCCGTGATAAAAGCCATCAAGCTGCCTCTCCTTAGGTCCTTGTCCCTAGAAGAAACAGTCAGTAGTAGTTACAGGGAAACACAAAGACAACTGGAAGCTACTGTAGAGAAAGGCAAGCCGCTTTACAGGCAGGGCCGTGATACACCCAGCATTCAAGAAATTGAGCGGTCATTATTGAGGAACATAAAAGAACAGGATGCAAGAGAAGATGGACTTATCAGAAATGGGGATGCGCTGGTGTCTACTCCAGCCGACATGGGCTTTCAAGGGACAGATAACACCAACCTAACATGGGAGCCCACCCTTTCTGAAGATGTAGGGAGTTTTTCATTAAGGACGTTGGGAGAAGATGAGGAAGTGACTCCTACTTTATTAAATAAAGTTGGGAAAAGTAAAGAGGAAAATGTCCACCGAAGCCAAGAGAAGCCCAAGGTAGGAAGGGCAAAGCAGTACTTAGCACGACCAAAGTCAGCATTAGAAGATAGCTCATCACAACGCCAACTGGGTCCCCCTTTAGAGGAGAAAAATTATTTTAAGAATCATCTTTTCTCCAATAGGAGAGGTGGGTCATGTGCGAAAAAAATAATCACGAGGGAGAGTAGTTCTCCTGCAATAAGCTCTATGTTAGAGAACCATGTGTACTGCCCTGTAATCAGCGATGTTTCAGGAGACATCAGACACTTGGAAGAAACACCTGTGATGTCAGATGATCTTGCGTGTACCCCTGTAACAAACCCAAGGTCAGAGAGCATCGTACACTCAGCTATCAACAGTCCCTTGCCAGAGAAAATTGCCAGTTCGCGTGTAATGAAGGCAGAGGAGATTACAAATCCCGCTTTGTTGAATGTGGTCACAAAGAACAAGGCTGACATTTCGGCAGAGGAAATACTCGATTCCATGCAGAGGAGCCTGCTGGCTGAGGACACCAGCGACTCGAGGCCGACAAACGAGCGATCCCAGAGTTGTATGGCGAAACCGCTGGGCAAACCCCCCGCAGTGCCACCGAAAAGCGAAAAGGCCCTGCGGCGAGCCAAAAGGCTAGCCAACAAGAGAAAAAAGACGGAGGTGCAGCAGAAGAGCCTTCCAATGGAGCAGACAGATGTTGTGGTGAGAAAGCCATCCCAGGCTGGACAGATTCCATTATCCCCCGTACCCTGGAACCATTCTCCACCATCTCCTGTGTCCCGTTCACCTTGTCCTCCTTCAGAATCTAGCCTGGTAAGACTCAAAGGTGCCCCGTCAGTTAGCCCCACGCCCTCTTTACCTGCAATTCAGCGTAAACTCCTTCAAGATCCCGACTCAGGGGAGTACTTCATCGTCGACCTAGATGCTCAAGTTCATTTAAAGACCTTTTATGAGCCAGACACCGGCAAATACATCCAAGTCCCAGTCTGTTCCTCCGAAAGGAGCTTACACCAACCAGCCTCTTGGGAAAACATGAAACCTCCTTGCGTCCTGTACCCCAGTGAGCTGCCTGTATCCGTGCCTACTCTGAGATCAACTTCCCAACAGTCTGAACCTCTTTCGCTCATGCAGAACGTCCCAGGCATGCCAGCTGAAGACTGGCAGGAGGAAGACAGAGATTCTCCATCCCCAGAGAGCCAACCCTATATTGAACCTGTATCTGACTCTCATAGTCAGCATGCTGATGAAACTCAGCGTACTTGTCAAGAAGACACAAGTCCAGCTATATGCATGGACATCATTTCAATCGGTGATTTAGAGGATTTTGTTGTCGAGGGGATCTCTTAAGCCCTGAAATGCTAAATTATTTTCAGTATAAATACATTCAGACACGCACTCATTATTTGTAAACACTAACGTCTGGATCTGGTTGTGGCACGGTTTGGGTGAGAAGGAGAAGGAAGGTTTGCGACTCCAAAGGGGAGAGATGTCACTGTGAGGAAGTCTGCTGTTGGGGTCAACCCTGGCTTATCAATAAAATAAAGGGACTATGCTGTCAAAATAAAAATCTGATGGTCTGAAACCACCCTCAGTGGCTGCTACCGCTGTAGCTTTGCCACTGGGGACACAAGGATTGCAAAAATGGACATGATCCTGTCCAGTTTTTCGGGTGGTGCGGTGTGACAAGTGACAAGTAGTAAGAATTCTGAGAACAGATGCTAACTCTACTTACGACTCCTCACTCTGTCTTGAAACCACGTTTACAAATAGACAATATCTGGCGATGAACATCAGCCATAGCGGTCAGAGAGTCACTTTTTGGTGTACTCTGACGAGCCAGAAATGAATGACTAGTCGGTTGTATACCGGTTATACAATACAGCACCTGAACTGAAAGCAAACCCGAAACATTGATAAGTAAAAGCAGCATCTCTACTCATCGGATACACTTGTGCATCCCTGCTAAACTGCTGCTAGCATTTTGAGATGGACAAATACTTCCCTATATTCAGCCCCTAGTCTCAGGAATTTCTCGTTACATAGCTCTCAAACTTCACTCCAGAGTGAAAGTTGGCCTGGAAAAAGTCCACCCAGGAGCAAAATTGAAGGAGATGCAGGTGCAATAGGTTTTGTTAGACTGGGAGGAGTTTTGATTATTGTTTCAGAGGTTTTTCTTTTTCTTACAAAGCACTACTGAAACACAAAGCTAACTTTTTTAAAAAAGTGAGAAATGTTTAATTGTTCCTTATTTTGGACTGTTGTATTCTGTGATTTTAAAAAAAAAGTGACAAGCGACAGCCAGGTTATTCATTTTTAGAAAGTGCCATAAGAAAGCAACTTATTTTGAGCATCCGGTTTTTCAGAAAGCTCTGTATCAATTCTGTACCATTCTTTTCTAAGCTCTTTTTCTCACCCTATACTGGATGGTACCTTGTCAAAGATCTGACTAATCAGAAATGCATGGTAACATGATGGTGCAAATACAATACACAGTAATATGTCTGCTTATCAATGTCTCTTTTTCTGCACATTGGTTTCTTTTTTTAAAATCCTCCTCCCTTTCATTTTGTGCTCCCCAAGGGAAAATGTAAAAGTAAAAGCTCTTCGGAAGAATAACTTTGGGCCCGATTCTCCTCTTACACCAGAATAACTCAGTTGTTCTCAGTAGAGTTTCTCTTGATTTACAATCAAATAAGGGGCAAATCCGGCCTTTTCTCTATAGCTGAAGAAGAACGGGGAAAAAGAAGTGGAACTATAATCGTAAGTCTGACAGAGGTTGTTCTTGGGCACGGTCTAACCAGCCCTGGGATTTCGGGATTTCTCATGAGAGGGCTTGTTCTCATGATATAGACCAAAGAGGTTTGATTAAGCTTCACTTTTTGGATACTTCAATCCACAAATTGAAGGTGGATTTTAAACCACCTGAGGTTTGCCCATCGCAACATACATCTTTACATTCAGAACCTATGTAAGCCAAACAAATGCTCCCTTTCATTGCCCCCGTCTACTGATACAATTCTCGTAGGGTCGATGGTCCCAATCCTCAGGAATCATTCTGTTTAGATCAGTGGGTTTTGGATTGGGCTCTAAATTATTTTCTCTCGCAAATTTTCACAGTCGTGCACAACTGATGTGACGCTGTGATTTGGGGGCCAGTTTGCACCTCTCAGGTCTGAGTTTTCGATGAAATTCAGCAAGATGCCTAAGTATAAGCAAACACGTTTGTGAAAACGCAATTTCTATGCAATCTTTGACTTGGACTGGGCTCATTTTACCTCAGAAAAAGGCATTCCAGGTCCCCCTAGGAAAAGGGGCTCTTTTTTGAGCACAAGCATTTGTAAAACATGAGTGCTTCAGGAACAAGGATTCCTTCTCAAATAGGGGAGGTAAGGCACGAGTCCAGGTTTGAACGCTCTTCTATTTCCTTGCCAATATTTTGCAAACTTCTTACATGGCACCCTCCACATTAGAATTGTAGGACTGGAAGAGACCTCAGTAGGTCTCCTAGGCCCCTGAAGGCATTATATTTTATTGTCTGCTGTGCCAGCTTTTATACAACACAGCAGCTCATCAAGCACAAAGCAAGTATGAAGGATAAATATTACATATCTGTAGGCTTGGAATGATTAGAGTTTCATTGGTAAATGTTGATTTCAGTGAAAACAGGCAAGCCATCAAAAAAATATTTCCATCAATAATTATCCAAATTTATCGAAAGAAGAATGCTGCTTTAGAACTTACTAGAATTTGATTGAAGGATATTTACTTTGTATATTTTGACATGTGATGTTGATAATTTGTGTTTTTGCAGTGATAAAGCTTTAATTTTGGAATCTCCAAGTCTACTGTCATTAAATAATTATGGTTCAATCCCCCCCCCTCCTTTTTGACTCAATCGGATATTAAAACAGCTTTATTTAACTGCAGTAATACTTGGCTGTGTAAAAAGAAATTCTGTATGGCAATATACTTACCACTGCTCCTTCTTTCTGTGCACATCCAAAGTTCTCTTGCTACATTTCAAAGGCAGAGGAGTAGCAGTCAGGACCTGGCGTAAGCGGGCACTGCTTCAGTTCCTGCTCTTGCCGCTTCTCCGCTGCACCTCTGCCTCTCCTTTCCTCTGCTGCAGAGATGGTGCTGGGGGGAACCAGCCTTTAAGCCAGGTACCCCCAGCACCGGCTCCTCTTCCTCCCCCCGACCTTACTGCCTCTGATACAGGGGACGGGGGGAAGCAACTAGTTGAGTAGTGATTCAACGAGTTGAGTAGTGATTCTACAGAGGACGGGGGAGGTGACTAGTTGAGTAGTGATTCGACTACCAGCTAAGTCTATACTTATGGGGTAGTCGACTAGTCGCTTAAACCCCTAGTAGACACCGGAGAAGGTACGTAGAACTAAGAAGAAAACATACATCAAGAGATTTGAAAACAAATCTGAATAGGAGTCTTGTTATGTGTCTGGAATTTTCTGTAGACTCCTTCTGTGGGGGAAAAGGTACAGCAATGACTCTGTGGCTACGTCTAGACTGGCATGATTTTCCGGAAATGCTTTTAACGGAAAACTTTTCCGTTAAAAGCATTTTTGGAACAGAGCATCTAGATTGGCACAGACGCTTTTCCGCAAAAGCACTTTTTGCGGAAAAGCGTCCGTGCCAATCTAGATGCACTTTTGCGCTAAAAAGCCCCGATCGCCATTTTTGCAATCGGGGCTTTTTTGTGCAAAACAAATCTCAGCTGTCTACACTGGCCCTTTTGCGCAACGGAAGCAGCATAGTATTTCCTCAAAAAGCACTGATTTCTTACAGTAGGAAGTCAGTGCTTTTGCGGAAATTCAAGCGGCCAGTGTAGACAGCTGGCTAGTTTTTCCGGAAAAGCAGCTGATTTTCCGGAAAAACTGGCCAGTCTAGACACAGCCACTATGTATGATCAATGACCCCATCAGACCCCTAGGGGGTCAGGATGTAAAATGGCGTTTAATCAGCTAATCGACTCATTACTGTCCATCTACTAACCCCGCTGTGGTTCTGCCTTTTAGATGTATTAAGAGCCTTGTGGCTCTTAATTCATCTAAAAGGCTGAAGCGCAGGGGGCAGGGAGGGACGAGGCATGAGCCGGGAATCAGCTGTCCCTGCTCATGCCTGGTCCCCCCTGCTGCACTTGTGCTTTTTAAATGTATGAAGAGCTGCCCGCCTGACAACTGTTAATACATTTAAAAAGCACAAGCGCAGCGAGAGAGAGGGACTGAGCGCTAGCCAGGAATCAGCCGATTCCCAGCTTGTCTTCCAATCCCCCGCTACACCTCTGCTCCCCCTGCTCCCACACAGACATGGCGCTGGGTGAGGAAGTGGCTTTTAAGCCACCTCCCCTGAGCACCAGTTCCTGCTCCCCCTCTGTTCCCCAGATAGTCACTTACATCCCTACGGGAGGCACAAATACTGTTGATGTGGAATTCTGGGTTAGCGTCAGAAAAATATATATTCAGATTAGATTTATTAATAGTAACTAAAAATGCTTGGTGCTTATATTGCATGTGAACACATCTTAAAAGCACAAGGTACCTAATGAGAAAATGAGCAATAGTTTATGATGGTATGGCACTTTCTTAAAGCTATATTATGCATATCAATAATGAAGGAAGCACGGTTTATATTCTTAAAAATAGGGGGCCAGATACTCAGCTAGTGTAAACGGTGCAATTTCATTGCCTTCTATGGAGGTGCACCCATTTACAGCTTCTGAAGATCTCAGTATTGGACAAACGTCATAGTATTCTTTCCATCCATTTTTGAAATGCAGTTGATTTAGATTTATTTTTATATGCAAACTGGCACTGCCAGTTTTCTATTTTTACTTAACCTCAATGGTTCTTGTCACTAACATCAACTGTTTGTGCACCAGAAGAAAATCAAGTGATATCCAATGACAAATGCTTTAGATTTTTTACATCACTGCACTTAGAAGTTTTGTGACACACGATCCCTCTTCCCTGAGCCTGCCGCAAACGTGTGGATTGTAGCTCTGATTTTTTGTGACGCGTGGGGAATGTGCAATAGTCAGAAAAAGTAGTAGGCAGTCACCAGTTTGGGAGTCTAACTCCCAAAGAATAACTGGGACTTTAAATACAAGAGCAAAGCTGTTTCTAGACTAATGAATCTAGAACGAAGTTGCGTTACCTTCTTTCCAGAACAGAAATGTCAGGCCTAATGAAGCCATAGAGTGTTTGAATGTACAGAGGTCCAGCAGATTGAATATAGTTTATGAAGCCTGATTTCTCAAAGGCCACCTTTTGTCTTACAAGTGCATGCTGCGTTTCCTAGTGCTCTTGGACTTTTTTCATCGTGGTTCTTCCTCAGAGAGCATGGCCTATCCCAAAGCTGAACCAGAGAGGGGATTGAGAGAGATTCCCTAATCATTTGTTCCGGGCACGACCGGCCTTTGCTGTCCTTTGAAACTAACTCCTCTTGCCTTCTGAGGTGGCCACAACTCCGTCTCCTCCAAATGCCACTTCCTCAGACACAGGCTAAGCCTCTGCACCCCCGGTCCCTTCACCCCAAGAGTCCAAGTGGTATTTTCTCTCGCCTGAACGTTGGGCTGGTTTTGGGGAATGCGTTTTGATGTAACTGGCCACGTGTCGGGATTTTATCAACCGCTCCCTGACTGTTCAGGCTTTGTCCCTGAAATATCTGCGGCCAGCAGAGTGTGCAGATGAAACTGTATGTACGAATTAACAGCAGCAAAATAAACGGGACTTGGTCCAGCTTTTTCTCTGTCGTTACATTTTGACTGTTCTTTGCACACAAGAGGTTGAAAGACAATGAACTGAGGAACCAGCTGGCTCAAGGGGCAACAAGAGCCTAGAGTAGGGATTGGTTGAAACGCAGACACACCCCATCTCCTCGGTTTGCCACTTCTGAGGTACAAAACCACAGGACCTTCAGGATGAGTCTGAGCCCCTAAAACTGGAGAGTTGCCATGTGCACAGAACACCCTGACAGATTTCCCAGGGCAGCTCCCGGCCTAAGGGATGCTGATGAGAAAACCAGATAGGTGGCAACCCCCTTTTCCTTCTAAAGAGGAGCAGGCTGAGGAGAAAAGCCCCACCCCTCCTGAAGGCCAGGAGAACAGAGGCGTTGTGCGGGATGGCTTGATGTGGCCGAGTTCTGGTGGGGAGGAGGGGTTGGTCTGACACTCTGGCGGGCTTACGTCTGACGTCCTCACACTGAAGGCTGTCGGCTTCTCGTGGGCCCCAGGCTGCGTAGGATATGACACTATCCCACATATCGCGTCGCCGCAGAGCCAAGGGGCTATTATGTCGGTTAATTAGCCCTGCTCATAAATAAATAGAGTTGCATGGACCCCTCTGGAGAATGAACTTCTCTTTTTAGCCACAGAATATCCACCCCTCCCCAGCAAGACAACCTCAAGGGCAGCATGTGCTCTCCATAGCCCACTCAGTCCTGGGACTTTGCTGAGAGGGCCAAATTTAGCTCCAACCGGGATAGGGGAATTTTTTCCAAAGGGCTGGAAATGTACTGGTTTAGATCAATGCTGAGATTGTCTCTGGTAGCTGGGGCTTTAATTAAACCATCCAATATTGCAAGACTCACAATAAAATAAGATTCACAACACTGAAACACATGGAACCCCCTCTTGCCTCCCGGGGTGACTCGGGCGCAGGCCTCGCTCCTCCGTGTGTCTGGGCGCCTGATGTTTCGAACATAAAAGGAGATCCTGAGCACCCCAGTGGTGATGCCGGATAGTTGGGGATCCCCTATGCACCCCCTTGCTCCTAAAGGAACATACAATAGCAGTACCTCCACCTGGCTGGCCCTGTGCACACTTACTGGCGTGCGTTGGGAGCCTCCAGGAATCAACTTATTCCAGGAATAATCTGGATCTAATTCCAAATCAACTACTATACATCTAATTGATTACATTAGAATTAACACACCTTTACTTGACACCTTAAAGAAACAGGATTTAACAGACTAAAATTGAGTAACATCCATTAACAAAGTGCACAGAAAGAAAGGAAACTTATCCCACTGGCATTGAGCCTTGCGCAGCCAGGCCAGGCCATACAGCAGCTCTGGTTTCCTCACCAGATCACTCTGCCTCTCTTTGGACCCAGAGTCAGGCTGTTTTCTGGGCTCTGTCTCAGGCAGCACTTTCTCAAACAGCCACAGTTACTCACTTCTATGCAGGTTTATGCAGGCCCATCTCAGCCAGGCTTTCTCCCGCCCAGGAACAATCCCCAACAGCCTCAGAAGCAGCCTGCTAGATCCAAGCCCCTGCAGGCTCCAACTTCCAGCAATAGCTCCTGCACTGGAAAAGGCTCCCCACCAGCAACATGGCTCCTCTCTCCAAATTGAGGCTCATCAGCTCTCTCCCTGCACTGCCTGGAAGTGTGCAACAGTTTCCCCTCCTTTTTCCCAAGGGCTCATGGGAGTTGCAGTCTCTAGAGCTAGATTGACGCACCAAGGATCCTCCCAGTAAAAGTCAGAGGCTCTTATAGTAATGGGAGCCTACAGACAAACATAAAGCTAACAGGTTTTGCCTCTCCCCAGGCACAGAGATGAAGAGTGTCCATGTTCACCTTCTACCTATAGTCCGGTCGCTCCAATCACCTGGCTTGGCCACGTTCACGCTCCCTGAAAGGTGCCTGTTATATAAATCTGATTCAAACAGCAGGGCCCTCCCTGGTCCTACAGCCAGACTCAGGATGGTAATGTTTCAGCACCAAGTTGTCTATTAAAAAATGTAGTACCTAAAAATGATCCAAACTGAATGCCACATGCTCCACTTTCTGGTCCAGTCGCGCCCGTTTTCACGGCTGCCTGCTCCCTTTCATTGTGTATTGAGATCACAAGCTCGTCAGGGCAGACTCTGCATGGTCTGTCAAGCACCGGGCACGTTGCCATGTCATTAATAATTAACAGGAGGAATTCACTGGGTCTTCCTGGATTTCTCTCCTGCCCCCGCCACAGTTTTCAGCCCCATCGTCTCTTTTGCCATTTAATTTTCTGCTTTTTGGTTTTTCTTCCCCTTTCCCCCCAAACACTCCTCTCCTGCCCCAGCCCCGTAGAGTCTCTCTCCTCATTCCTCCTGGGATCTCTCTGCTCAGGTCCCATCCCTGAGGTCTTTCCTCTCACAGGAGCGCCCC